CATTAGATTTATATAATCTATTTTAAATCATTACAGATAAGAGATAATATTGCATTTAGAGGTTAGATGATGTGATGCTGTTCTTTGTACTGAGCTTCTGAAAGATACAAGGGAATAGCAACAGGGAACAGCAGGATGTCACCCCAGGTATGAACTTTGTTTGATCAGACTCACATCATCTTGATATACTTCCTCTTTCCCTGATACTTTCTAGTGACTTCCAAAGATGTCAGAGATAAAGATTCTTTTCAACTTTGTTGCTGTCCATAAAGAAGCCTAACAGCTGAAAAGGGTGCATCTTATCAGAGCATGTCAGCCTGGAAAATGTAAAAGAAGAAGAAGTTTGCTAAGAATTTTGGCAAAGGGAAGAGAAAAAAAAAAGATTCCCTTTGCAACAGCAGCATCTTTCAGCTCACAATCGTACACTTCAAACACTTTCAGAATAACATGAAAACCAGCTGAGAAGTGGAATTATCACCAAAACCTAGGAATTACTTAGGAAACCCAAATAAAACAAAATCAAAAGACACCTTTACGACTAGGGCAAATAAACCCCCCATATCAGCTAAGGCACTGATGAAAAGATGCTTGGATGTCAATGAAGGATTTTGATATGCTTTTCGAAACACAAACAAGGATTCTTTTCTTTCTCTGCACAAACATAAAAATATAGGGTCAAACTGTCCCTCACTCACACAAAACCTCCCATTGAAATTTCTAAGCAGAGTGGTGTAGACCACTCTGTAAACTTTGCTCTCTATGAAACAGGGATATTAATCAGGATTTAATTCATTCTTATGTATTACACTGACAATTAATTCTTATCATGGCTGCATAGAGACTACAGAACATTATGGTGCCATAGGAATTGATCCCAGTTTAATATGTGCAGTGATAGCAATAATAATCCTTGTTTTTGTTACCGCTCTTGCCTACTTATATTTGTGATCATGCTTATTCCTCTTTCATTTAGTTTAATTCTGGCTAATAATTTATCAGTTGCAGAACAATAATTAGGGTTGAGTCCCAGCAGCTAAGTACTGCTGGAGCTTTAGACCAGACTTAAAATGATCACAAATGGTATAGGTATCTAGGAACTTTATAAAGACTTTGGGGAGTACGAGGTGCTTGCAAAGGGCAACTCTAAAAGTCCAGAGATACCTAGAAATAATCATTAGGAGCCACTAAAGCACAGGGGTGTGTCTGAACTCCCGCCCCTGCCAAGCTATCCATTCACTTGTATTCACAATGCTCAGTTTTGTTTCTGTTGGGTTTCAGAAATAGGTAATACACAGTCCCCATTTCATCTTATGTTAGACAGCTGTAGTGGAAAAATAGAAATAAACTGGCAGCAGACTATAACTCAGGACACTCCGCATTAGGCTGTAGATTCAGGCTCTCATTTTCTCATTCCTAGCTCAGATTACCTTGCAATCCTGACCTGGCCAATGTTCTGGCTTTGACAGGAAAGCTATCCCCATGTTACCTATTCAATAGCCTAGTGATAAGGTATTCTCCAGGGTGTTGGGAGGTCAGATTTCAAATCCCTTAGAGGCTGCTTAGGTTTAGACCCTCCACTTCCCCGGCAAGTGTTCTAATGAGTGGGGTATTGGGTAAAAGATGTCATTCTCAACAATTTGCTCTTCAGCTCTGAAACTACCTCTTGCTTGCAGGCCACCAGAGCTCAAGGCTGGACATTTTTTGGAAGCATTGTCAGACCTTCCTATTTTAGTAGGCAGCTGGCGAACAAAGCTAGACTGAGATACTGATTAAGAGATCTCTTTTATGTTTGTATTCTAGTTCTCTTTTAAGTTGTTTTGCCCTTTTGGCATTCTTCTGCCTTATTGTAAACCACCCTGAGCCTTAATTGATAAAGGCAGCCTACACCAGTTTCTGACATAAAACATGCACCTTTTTTCAAAAATCAGCTCCTAGAAATTGGAGAGTGCATCACTTGAGGAAATATGGTAACAGCAGTTTCTGTATCCTAGGCCTCTGTTGAGGAAAGTGAAAGTAAGGCTGCAGTACTCCACAGGGATCAGCACAAGGAGCATGCTAAGTTGTCTAGCTGCTGCTACTCGGTTACTCCCTCATACTTACCCATACTTTAAGAAAAGATTTTTCCCTTTATTCTGCCTTCCAAGAAAAAGGTGCATATTTTATTCTGGAATATGATTTATTCAAGAAAATATGGTAAATCAAATCAATCAATCAATCACTCAGTCAATAAAAGGTGGACAGCATGACCCCTGTCAGGGGAAAAAGTGTGTCCAGGACCTGTAAAGCCATTTCTGGTGACCCATATTCTGGGAGGAAAAGTAACTTAAGAGCAGCTTCTTCAACAGAAAGCATGATTTATTCACCCAGAGGTACACAACACTCATCAAGGAATATTATAATAATAGCCTTTGAGAATGTTTCAGCAGGGAACAGCTAGGCAACAAGGGTGTGGGGATGGGGTGAGTGGGAAGGGGTAAAGGAAGGTAGATAGGAGGGGGGGAAGAGGGATGGGGTAGGGGGAAGAAGGGACTGAGTGGGTAGGGAGCTGGCAAGATGCTGCTCCTTCTACCCCACATTGCTCCCTAGCTTCTAAACCAACCCCTCCAGCCCCATATCACTCTTCTGCCATGCCAATTGTCCCCTCTGCCCACCATCAGCCCCTCCATCCCCACAAAACTGACCTGCTGCCCCAATCAGCCCAAGAGTGACAGAGGTGCTCATGGGGGCTTCCCCCTCCCTAGAATCATAGAAAATTAGGGTTGGAAAGGACCTCAGGA